GCCACAGAACGCGTGGCAGGGCACGGCTAGTACTATAAAATAAAAATGTAATGTTCATTTGTGGGATTACATAACTCAAAAACCACTGGACGAATTGACACAAATTTGGACACACACCTCTCAGGCCAATGAGTGACCATCACTCATAATCCCCCCCCCCAAAAAAGTGGAAAGGACTTAAAAACCCCCAAAAAGCTAAATGACAAAAAACTAAATGACAATACAGAAAAAAAGGGAAGAGAGGGAGAAGGGGAGAAAGAAAGAAAGAAAAGAAAGAAAAAAAGAAGAAAGAAAGAAAAAAAAAAGAAAGGAAGGAAGGAAGAAGGAAGGAAGGAAGAAATAAAAGAGAAAGAAAAGAGAGACGGAAGCAAAGAGCAAAGGAAGAAAGAAAGAGAAAAAGGAAGGAAAAGAAGGAGGGAAGGAAGGAAAGCGGTAGAGAAGGAAGAAAGGAAGGAAGAAAAGGAGAAAGAGGAGGAAGGAAGGAGAAAGAGGGAGGGAAGTAAAGAGAGAAGGAAGGAAAGGAAGAAAGAAGGAAAAAGAAAGAAGGGAAAAGGGTAGGGAAGGAAGAAAGGAGAGAAAGAGGAAGGAAAAGGAAAAGGGGGAAGGAAGGAAAGAGGTAGAGAAAGGAAGAGGAAGAAAAAGAAAGAAGGAGAAAGGAGAAAAAAGAAAAAGGGAAGAGGGAAGGAAGGAAAGAGGAAGAAGGAAGGAAAGAAAGGAAAAAGAAAAGGAAGGAAAGAGGGAAAAGGAAGAGAGAAAGAGGGAGGGAAGGAAAGAGAGAAGAGAAGAAATTAGAGGGGAAGGGAGGAAGGAGGTAGAGAAGGAAGGAGAGAAAGAGGACGAGAAAGAAAAGGGAGGGAAGGAAGGAAAGAGGTAGAGAATAAGGAAGGAGAGAAGAAAAGAAGAAAAAGGAAGGAAGGAAAGGAAAGAAGGAGAGAAAGAGGGAGGGAAGGTTGGCCAAAGCAATGCGTGGTGGGTACAACTAGTACAACATAAAAAATACAGCAATAAAATATAATGAAAATAATAATGCAAAAAACAATACAGAGTAAACACACAATACAATATACAAGGGTTGAATGAAAAGTAATGCCTCCACCTTCGTAACTCCTCAACAAATTTGATCTCTGATTGTTTTTAAATTGTTTTAAATTGTTTTTAAATTGCGTTTGATTTTAGCCTGTTCTTGTAAGCCGCTCCGAGCCCCAGGGGAGTGGCGGCATATAAGTTCAAATAATAAATAAATAAACAAACAAATGGCAGTACGGGTATGCGGCAGGTACTGGCTTGTTCAGTAGACTCTCCTCTACAGTTCTATTTTGGAAGGAGCCTCAGCATTGAATGGTTGTGTTGTTAAAGTGCGAAATATGGAACCCTGCGCAGATGGTCGGTCAATGTGACTTAAGCAACGTGTAGTCATTGAATTCTTGACAGCAGAATGTGTCACCTCTGTTGCGGTTTATATGAAACCCAACCCAGAAATTGTGTAGTCCTGTCCAGACTTCCCAGCCCTTTCATCCACAAAGACTAAATGTGAGCCAAGTAAATGGGAAAAACAAAATTTACTCTTAAGTAACAGAGTTAAATAAGCAGCTTCACAAAAATATCCAGCTTTGAAAATAACTCAGTCCATTTGCAGAAATAAAACTCACACAAAGTCCTATGCATTAAGTCCATGCATCTTCTTCTTCTTCCTCAATGGTGCAAGGAGACAAGTCTTGAAGTAAGTGGTTCAGTAAATCCAGTAAGTCCCCAAATCCACCAGAAACACTCCTCATGTTATACTCCATTCAGGGAGTGGTTCAAGCTTAATTACTTCAGTTATCCAGGTTATTCATTTGTTGTGTCAGGGCAACCAGTCAAATGTATTACATTTCTAACAGAACAAAACAAATACAAAGACAAAACACAAAATTTGCAAGTTTGGTAGTTGATTAAATGTCCTTTGACCAGTATCTGGCCACTTGGAGTGCTTCTGGTGTTGCTGCAAGAAGGTCCTCCATTGTGCATGTGGCTGGGCTCAGGTTGCATTGCAGCAGGTGGTCGGTGGTTTGCTCTTCTCCACACTCACATGTCGTGGATTCCACTTTGTAGCCCCATTTCTTGAGGTTGGCGCTGCATCTTGTGGTGCCAGAGCACAGTCTGTTCAGCACCTTCCAAGTTGCCCAGTCTTCTGTGTGCCCAGGGGGGAGTCTCTCATTTTGTATCAGCCATTGGTTGAGGTTCTGGGTTTGAGCCTGCCACTTTTGGACTCTCGCTTGCTGAGGTGTTCCAGCGAGTGTCTCTGTAGATCTTAGAAAACTATTTCTAGATTTAAGTCGTTGACGTGCTGGCTGATACCCAAACAGGGGATGAGCTGGAGATGTCTCTGCCTTGGTCCTTTCACTACTGGCTACTACTTCCCGGCGGATGTCAGGTGGTGCAATACCGGCTAAGCAGTGTAATTTCTCCAGTGGTGTAGGGCGCAGACACCCCATGATAATGTGGCATGTCTCATTAAGAGCCACATCTACTGTTTTGGTGTGGTGACCAGTTATCCAGGTGTTTTTCCTCAACACACACACAGGAGACGATCCTTACGAAAACTTAGTCATATACTATAACAACCTCAACATCTTTAAACTTACTCGCCCAACAACACACAGTACTCAAATCAACACAATCACCATAAACAGCTTGCCTTCTCTGATGAATTTCCTTTGGGGTGACACCTTCTGCTGTCAAGAATTCAATGACTGCACGTTGCTTAAGTCGCATTGAGAAACCGTTTGCGCAGGGTTCCATACTTTGCACTTTAACAACACAACCGTTCAATGCTAAGGCTTCCCGCCAAAATGTAACTGTAGAGGAGAGTCTACTGAACAAGCCAGTACCTGCTGCATACTAGTACTGCCATCTGTTGAGGAGTTATGAAGGTGGAGGCATTACTTTTCATTCAACCCTTGTAAAACCACAATAATTGGACACAATGGGCAGGGTCAGTTGCAAAGATTAAAAAAATTAAAAACACTGGGTGAGATAAGCAATGCAGTGTATCTGGAAGGAGGTTCAGGTGGGACAAAACAATGAAGTTTAATTGCACTAGAGCAGTGTTTCTCAACCTTCCTAATGCCGTGACCCCTTAATACAGTGCCTTATGTTGTGGTGACTCCCCCAAACATAAAATCATTTTTGTTGCTACTTCATAAGTGTAATTTTGCTACTGTTATCAATTGTAATGTAAAGAGACTTCATGGGCCATCCAGTCCCAACCCCCTGCCAAGAAGCAGGAAAATTGCATTCAAATCACCCCCAACAGATGGCCATCCAACCTCTGTTTCTGGTGTATTTTCATTGAGTGGATCAAATTTGGCACAAATACCCGATACGCCTGAGTTTGAATACTAGTGGGGTTGGGGGGGGGGGCTGATTTTGACATTTGAGAGTTGTAGTTGCTGGGATTTATAGTCCACATACAAAGAGCATTCTGAACTCCACCAACAACGGAATTGAGCCAAACTTAGCACTCAGAACTTCAATGACCAACAGAAAAAACTGTAAGGGTTTGGTGGGCATTGACCTTGAGTTTTGGAGTTGTAGCTCACCCACATCCAGAGAGTACTGTGGACCTAAACAATGATAGATCTGGACCAAACTTGGCACAAATACTCAATATGCCCAAATGTGATCACTGGTGGAGTTTGGGGAAAATAGACCTTGGCATTTTGGAGTTGTTGTTGCTGAGATTTATAGTTCACCTACAATCAAAGAGCATTCTGAACTCCACCAACCATAGAATTGGCCCAAACTTCCCACACAGTAACCCCATGACCAACAGAAAATATTGTGTTTTCTGATGGTCCTTGGTGACCCCTCTGACACCCCCTCGCGACCCCTCCAAGGGTCCCTACCCCCAGGTTGAGAAACACTGCACTAGAGGGTGAAATAAAGTGCATCTGAGGGCATTTTATACAGGGTTTGGTCAAGGTTGGGGATTGTTGTTCATTCATTGAAGACACACTGGAACAGCCAAATTTTTAGGGTCTTCCTGAAGACTTCCAGAGTGGGGGCTTGCCTAATTTCTCCAGGGAGCGAATTCCAGCGCCGAGGGGCCACCACAGAGAAGGCCCTCTCCCTCGTCCTCACAAGTCATGCTTGTGACAGGGGTGGGAGCGAGAGAAGGGCCTCTCTGGAAGATCGAAGGGATCGTGTAGGTTCGTAGAAGGAAATGCGGTCACAAAGGTAGGTGGGTCCCAAACCATTCTGGGCTTGGGACAAAGAGTGTGGTTGAGATAATAATAATAATACTTAATTTATACCCCGCCACTATCTCCCCAAGGGGACTCGGGGCAGCTTACATGAGGCCAAGCTCAATAATTACAACAAAGCCAAATATACAACATAAAAAATACAGCAATAAAATATAAAGAAAATAATAACGCAAAAAAAAAGTAAACAATGTAATATACAAGGGTTGAATGAAAAGTAATGCCTCCACCTTCGTAACTCCTCAACAAATGGCAGTACTGGTATGTGGCAGGTACTGGCTTGAAATGGGACTGGAAAATAAATGGCAGCCAATGGCAAATTATATTAATGAAGATGAACACAGAAGCTAGGAGAGGCTGCCCCTCTTTGATTTCTCGCTTTAACAGCTATGCCTCAATGGTATGGGCTCATGGGTGTTGTAGTTTGATGAGGCACCAGCACTATTTTGGCAGAAAAGGAAAACTACGACTTTGACTATTCAATAACATTGAGCCATGGCAGTTAAAGTGGTGCCAAACTATTAATTTGACATTGTAGATGTATCCACAGCCCTTGCTGTGCTTTCCAGCTCTAAATATCCTCTTCTGCTGAGCACCAGGAACACCAGCCACGGCTACCATTGCTGCAGAGTGATTCAGAACTTCACTTCCAGTATTTGCTTGAGCTCAGGTACAAGATAAAGAGCAGCCTTGCCCAGTTTCAGTTGAGTTTCAGCCGCTGAAGTGGAAGCCAGGCTCCAGCTTCCCTTGAGACAAATGGCTCTGAACACAGTCCTCCTGGGCACTTTCCTCATCTCTTTGCTGCTCTTCCTCTTGTTCTTTGGTGAGTATCTTAATATTTACAACTATATTTTCTTGTTTCTTGGCAGGGGGTTGGACTGGATGGCCCACGAGGTCGCTTCCAACTCTATGATTCTATAGGGACATCAAGTTTACCAAATGGTCATTATAAATATATCTATTTCCTCTCCCTAAGCATTGTGTCAGGAAGGACATCTGGACTCCCTCCAGCTCTGGTAGTATTTTTAGGAGGCAGAAGTTTGTAGTCTGGGGAGATAATTCTAAACATACTTCCTTAAAATATATAAATCCCGGGCTTCCATACAGTATGGTATTTCCATGTCAGTTAAAGCATAATTCTAAATTTCCTCTCTTTGCCGATGAGAGAAGCCAATATATATACTTGTCCTCAGTCGAGAAACCCCATAATAATAATAATAATAATAATAATAATAATAATAATTTATTTGTACCCCGCTACCATCTCCCCAAGGGACTCGGTGCGGCTTACATGAGGCCGAGCCCAAATACAACAATACAAGCAATTAAAATTAAAAACATAATAAAATATACAACATTATCAATAAGACAACACACAATTAAAAACAGTGGGAAGGCCAAATGTAAAGTTAAAATTGGAAGTAATGCTGGGACATGGACGAAAAGGTGATACTGGTGTTTGTGAAAGAGCGTACGAGCAGACCTAAAGAAATGTAAAGTGCTTTGGAGGACAAAGTGCTATGGGATCATTATTCTGGGAAGGCACACTGGAACAGCCACGTCTTCAAGCTCCTCCTGAAGACTGCCAGAGTTGGGGCCTGTCTGATGTCTTTAGGGAGTGAGTTCCAGAGTTGAGGGGCCACCACCAAAAAGGCTGCGAGGCTGGTGGGATCGAGAGCAGGGCCTCTCCGGATGATCAAAGGGATCGTGTGGGTTCGTATACAGAGATGCGGTCACGCAGGTAGGCGGGTCCCAAACCGTTCAAGGCTTGGTAGGTAAGAACCTGCACCTTGAATTGGGTCCGGTAAATAAATGGCAGCCAGTGGAGCTCCTTGAACAGGAGGGTTGACCGCTCCCTGTAAGGTGCCCCAGTTAACAACCTGGCTGCCGCCCGTTGGATCATCTGGAATTTCCGGGCCGTTTTCAAGGGCAGCCCCATGTAGAGTGCATTGCAGTAATCCAATCTAGAGGTGACTAAGGCGTGGACCACTTTGGCCAGATCCGCCTTCCCGAGGTACGGTCGCAGTTGGAGCATGAGTCTTAATTGTGCAAAGGCCCTCCCAGCCACCAACGATGCCTGAGCCTCAAACATAAGTGAAGAATCCAGGAGGACCCCCAAACTACGGACCTGTGACTTCAGGGGGAGTGCAAGCCCGTCCAGCACAGGTTGCCACCCTATATATACCTCAGTCTGGGGGTATAGGATGGCAACACTAGCAGAATTATAAACAGCTCTAAAACAGTTACTAACATTAATATAACTAGATTATTATTATTATTATTATTATTATTATTATTATTATTTGAAACACAACAAGATGAGTCCACAGCAGACAAGATCACTCTGTTGGCGGTTATATTGGATCACAAGAAAAGAGAGGCATGTAAGAATTATTATTATTATTATTATTATTATTATTATTATTATTTGAAACACAACAAGATGGTTTCACAGAAGACAAGATCACTCTGTTGTATTGGATCACACGTTGGTTATTATTATTATTATTATTATTATTATTATTATTATTATTATTATTATTCGAAACACAACAAGGTGAGTCCACAGCAGACAAGATCACTCTGCTGGCTGTTGTATTGGATCACACGTCGGACACTTCCCAAGTGTCTAGGACTGTGTGATGTATCAGCGAATAATGCGTGCAAATCCCAGTAAGGTGGCCTTCTGCAACTGGCAGATGGTAATTTAGTCAGCGCCGATTGTGTTTAAGTGCAGGCCAAGGTCTTTAGGCACTGCACCCAGTGTGCCGATCACCTGGGTATTCTAAAAGTGGAGAAACAGAGGGGACTTGATGGAACTGTCTCTGCCAAATTGATACAGTTGGAGTGGATGCTGCACTAAGATTCTTGATACATGAAGTGTCAACCCAGGGATGTGGCAGTACTCCATGCCCAAAGTGATAAATTTTCCCCTCTACATTTCTCCTTAGGAAACGGAACATGTGTGGAGGTGACGGTACCCAGTGATCCAGTGATGCAGAAGATTGGCTCAAACGTGGAACTGCCGTGTCATTATAAAACATCAGTTGACAAAAACTTCATGCTGGAATGGCGATTTGCCCCAGGCTCAACACCTCCTGATCATGGGAAACAGGTAAAGGGGCTTAAGCAGAGGAGCATAGTTCGCAACAAAAGCTGATGATGGAGAATAGATGGATTCAGTACTCATCTCTGCCATTAAAACACATGTGGTAACCCAGGCATGGGCAAACTTTCTAACTAGAGGGTCAGAGTGGGAGGGGGTTTTCCCCAGGCTCCTTCCCTGCGCTTTCCTCCCCTTCCTCTTCTCTTTTGGAGGCAGAAAGTGAAAGAAAGACAGAAAACGTTTGGATCCCAAAAGGGTTGGCCTTGGTCAGGATGAGTGATGGGCAGGAGAGAAAAACTGTATCCATTAGACTCCGTACTGCCTACTCCTGATATATAATCCTAGACTCCTAGAGCTGGAAGAGACCCCCCAAGGGACATCCAGTCCAACCCCCTGCCATGCAGGATGGCACAATCAAAGCACTCCCAATAGACAGCCTCTGTGGAGAAGCCTCCAGAGAAGGAGGTTCCACCACAATCCCAGGAAGCCTATGCCACTCTCCGACAGCTCTTACTCTCACAAAGTTCTTCCTAATCTTTTCAGTTGGATCGCTTGCCTTGACATTTGAAACCATCACCCCCTTGTGCCCTGGTCTTTAGAGCAGCAGAAAGTTCGCTTTCCTCCTCTTCTTTCTCCTCAATGGGGCACCCTTTTTAAATCTTGAAACATGGTTCTTCTATTCCTTCTCTACCTTCTCTTCTCCCAGCTAAACATCCCCCAGGAGGAAAGGAGGAAGGAAAAAGGGAAGGAAGGGAGGGAAGAAGTGAATGATGGAAGGAAGGGTGGAAAGGAATGGAAGGAGGGAAGCAAGGGAAGAAAAGCCAAAAGGGAAGGAAGGAAAGAGAAAGAGAGAGGAAGAGAAAGAGGGAGGGAGGAAAGACAAAAGGGTAGGAGGGAAGGAGTGAGGGAGAAAGAGGGAGGTAAGGAAGGAAAGAGAAGGAAGGGAGGAAGAGAAGGATAGAAGGAAGGGTGGAGGGGAGGGAGAGGAGGGAGGGATAGGAAAGACAAAGAGGAAGGGAGGGAGGAGAAAGGGAAAGAGGGAGGAAACAGAAAAGGAAGGAAGGACGAAAGGGTGGAAGGGAATGAAGGAGGGAGGGTGAAAGAGGAAGGTAAGGAAGGAAAAAGAGAAGGGAGGGAGGAAGAGAAGGGCAGAAGGATGGGTGGAAGAAGAGGGAGGGAAGGGAGGGAGAGAGGGAAGGAAAAACAAAAGAGAAGAAAGGAAGTAAGAGGGGGGAAGAGGGAAAGAAGGAAAGAAAGGGTGGAAGGGAAGGAAGGAGGGAGAAAGAGGGATCTAAGGAAAGAAAGATAAGGAAGGAACGGAGGAAGAGAAGGGTGGAAGGAAGGGTTGAGGGGAGGGAGAGGAGGGAGGGTTAGGGAAGACAAAAGGGATTGAAGGAAGGAGAAAGAGGGAAAGAGGAAAGGAAGGAAGGACAAAAAGATGGAAGGGAATGAAGGAGAGAGGGAGAAATAGGGAGGTAAGGAAGGAAAGAGAGAAGGAAGGAAAGGCTGGCATGAGAGAGGAGGGCTTGGAGAGCCTGAGAAAAGAGCTCAATGGGCCACATTCGGGGTCTGGTTTTGCCCATACCTATGGCAACTTGCTGAGAACCCACACCAGCATAAGATCAAAGCCTATCTTTCTTTGGTGGTTATAGAGGGTGGAGCTCACTGCCTCCCCCATGAAAGCATCTGTTGCCTATGAGGGGGCCCCAGCATAGCTATTTAATGGCTAGTGGAAAGCAGTGGGAGCTGCAACAGAGAAGCATGTCTATGTTCCTGTATTATGCATAATCAGACCAATTGCATAATCTGTTGAGACTTTTGGAGGAGCCCAGGAGATCCTGGAGATTGTCCTTTTCTGTTGGAGAACCGTCTAAAGCAGGGGTCCTCAAACTTCTTAAGCTGAAGTCACTGTTGGAGTGCTGAACTATACTCTGGAAAAAAGAAGAAACGTCTATGCACACTGTACATATTTTCTTTGTAGTGCAAGAAAACATGGAATAACAGTATAATATTAAAAATGAAGAACAATTTTAACCAGCATAAATTTACTAGTATTTCAATGGGAAGTATGGTCTTGTTTTTGGCTGATGAGGTAAGCAAGTTTATTAAGATTGTTGTTGTGTGCCTTCAGGTCGTTACAGACTTAAGGTGACACTAAGTCCAACATCTAGGGCGGGCGCCAGGGGAAGGACCTTGGAGGCTCCCAGGCATTGGTTTGGGGACCCCAGATCTAAAGAAATCCAACCAGACCAGCTGGTATGAGGGTTGAATGAAAAGTAATGCCTCTACCTTCGTTACTTGGGTTTGGATGGGAATATATTAATAAATCAAATGCAGAAATAATCCTTAGAATGTGCTCTTTAACTACCACTATTCACTTTCCCACATAATCACCAGACAATTGGACAATTTTTTGCCAACAATGAGCAAGTTTTCTGAAGCCATCACAGAAGAAGTCTGTGCGCTTTCATTTCAGGCATCAGTATTCTGGGTACCCATCGTTCACAGATCTTCCGATAGCCAAACAAAGCACTGATGTGACCCACACATTCTTGTGAAATGCCAGTTATGCTTGAAATTTGGGATGACATCTGCTGTCAAGAATTCAATGACTGCACGTTGCTTAAGTCGCATTGACTGACCGTCTGCACAGGGTTCCATATTTTGCACTTTAACAACACAAGCGTTCAATGCTAAGGCTTCCCGCCAAAATGGAACTGTAGATTCACATCCCAAATAGATTACTGCAACGCACTCTATGTGGGGTTGCCTTTGAAGACTGTTTGGAAATTGCAATTAGTCCAACGGGCAGCAGCTAGATTACTCACCAGAGCGTCATACAGGGAGCACACCACCCCTCTGCTATGTCAGCTCCACTGGCTGCCAATCCAATTCCAAGCACAATTCAAAGTGCTGGTCTTGATCTATAAAACCCTATATGGCTCCGGTCCAGCGTACCTGTCCGAACGTATCTCCTTCTACGTCTCACCTCGGAGCTTAAGATCGTTTGGGGAGGCCCTGCTCTTGGCCCCGCCTTTGTCTCAAACACGCTTGGTGGGGACGAGGGACAGGGCCTTCTCGGTGGTGGCCCCCCACCTGTGGAATTTGCTCCCCGGGGAAATTAGGTCATCGTCATCCCTCCTCACCTTTAGAAAAAAGGTTAAAACGTGGCTGTGGGACCAGGCCTTTGGGCAATCAGGTTAAAGGACAATTGATAATGTTTAACTATGGCATGGAAGAGGATTTGGATAAGTTAAGCGGAGTATTCATAAGTAGATGGCTAGCTAAACAGCCACCAGACGGGCAATAGCTAATCAGAGTGTAAGTATACTGTTTTGATCTTTATTTATTAATGTTCATGTTAATTGTTATATTTGTCTCCCTAGGGGTTGAGAAGGGCAGAGTAGAAATGTTCGAAATAAAAAAAATAAAGTAGAGTCTACTGAACAAGACAATACCTGCCGCATACCAGTACTGCCATCTGTTGAGGAGCTATGAAGGTAGAGGCATTACTTTTCATTCAACCCTCGTAGATATTCCCTTTTCAGACCACTAATTCCAAAATGGGCTGGTGAATGAGGCTAGGGTTGCTGTTGAAAAAGTGCCTTTTTCCAAACTTTGTCCCATGCTAAGATTGCTTTCCAACGGAGTCTCCCTTCTCTCTGCAGATGGTCTACTTCACGAACAATGTGTTGTACAAACCAGGCTCTCAGTCTGAACGCATAAGCCTGCTTCATGACCCTCCCACGTTGGGTGATGCATCCATTCAACTGAACAATATCCGGGCATCAGATGCAGGCACCTATATCTGCGAAGTGAACAATCCTCCAGACTTTTATGGCACTAGCTCTGGTCTTATCCAACTCACAGTTTTAAGTAAGTTGCCATTTTCATTTTAATTCTAGGATTAATTTTAATGGCGGAGGAAGATGGCTTGCTCTTGTAGTCCAAAGCAAAGCAAACTCTAGAGCAGGCATGGGCAAACTTGGGCCCTCCAGGTGCTTTGGACTTCGACTCTCTTGAGCGGCTGAGGAAGGGAAAGGAAGGGCCTGAGGCTGTTAGGAATTGTGGGAGTTGAAGTCCAAAACACCTTGAGGGCCCAAGTTTGCCCATGCCTGCTCCAGAATCTGTGTGCTCAGAATGCAGAAGCTTTCACTTCAGAAAACATACAAGCAGTTTATTTTTGCTTGAGCCTACTGGGAAAATGTGGGGCCCCAGAAATTGAGGATTTATTTATTTACGGCATTTGTATAATGCCATTCTCAAGCAGTTCACAGATGGCAGCGATTCAATGCCATAGCAAATATCAAAATTCAGTTAAACAATTATAAAAAAAACAATTCAACATTTAATCAGTATTTTCTGTTGTTCATGGGGGTTCTGAGTGAGAAGTTTGACTCAATTTTATCATTGGTGGGGTTCAGAATACTCTTTGATTGTAAGTGAACTATAAATCCCAACAACTACAACTCCAAAATGTCAAGGTCTATTTCCCTCAAACTCTACCAGTGTTCATATTTGAGCAGATTGAGTATCCATGCCAAGTTTGGTCCAGATCTATCATTGTTTGAGTCCACGGTGCTCTCTTGATGTAGGTGAACTACAACTCCAAAACTCAAGGTCAATGCTCACCAAACCCTTCCAGTATTTTCTGTTGGTCATGGGAGTTCTGTGTGCCAAGTTTGGTTCAATTTCATCATTGGTGGAGTTCAGAATGCACTTTGATTGTAGGTGAACTATAAATCTCAGCAACAACTCCCAAATGTCAAGGTCTATTTTCCCCAAACTCCACCAGTGTTCACATTTGGGCATATTGAGTATTTGTGCCAAGTTTGGTCCAGATCCATCATTGTTTGAGTCCACAGTGCTCTCTGGATGTAGGTGAACTACAACTCCAAAACTCAAGGTCATGCTCACCAAACCCTTCCAGTATTTTCTGTTGGTCATGGGAGTTCTGTGTGCCAAGTTTGGTTCAATTTCATCATTGGTGGAGTTCAGAATGCTCTTTGATTGTAGGTGAACTATAAATCCCAGCAACTACAACTCCCAAATGTCAAAATCAATCCCCCAATCCCACCAGTATTCAAACTTGGGTATATTGGGTATTTGTGCCAAATTTAGTCCAGTGAATGAAAATACATCCTGCATATCAGATATTTACATTATGCTTCGTAACAGTAGCAACATTACAATTATGAAGTAGCAACAAAAATAATTTTATGGTTGGGGATCACCATAAAATTGAGGAAGTGTATTAAGGGGTTGTGGTATTAGGAAGGTTGAGAACTACTGATCTAGCAGTTGGCATCTTGGAGAATCCACCGAGGTCATAGTTATCAGGCAAGGCCTACTGTACTTATGCCTCCAATGGAAAATGGACAATGGTGGCTCCAGCATTCCAAGCAACCCAAGACAAGTGGGTATATTTACTTTTTCAGTTTCTTACAATGCCTTCGATTCAGCATCATACAGTGTTACTGATAGAAGAGAATCCATGTAGAAGGAACTTTTTTTTGCCCACAATGTGGTTAAGTTGTCCTAGGACTTAGGGATGCTCTTAATTGAAAGGCTGAGAAATAAAAAGAGCAGAAAAGGGAGGAAGAAATTAGGAACTATGACACTTCTCCTTGCAGATGGACAATGAATGCAATCTATGCATTTAGGCCCCTGGTGGTGCAGTGGTTTAAACCACTGAGTTGCTGAACTTGCTGACTAAAATGTTGGTGGTTCGAATCCAGGGAGCGGGGTGAGCTCCCTCTGTTAGGCCCAGCTTCTGCCAACCTAGCAGTTCAAAAACATGCAAATGTCAGTTGATCAATAGGTACTTCTCCGTTGGGAAGGTGACACCACGCCATGCAGTCATGCTGGCCACATGACCTTGGAGGTGTCTACGGATAACGCCGGCTCTTTGGCTTAAAAATGGAGATGAGCACCACCCCCAAGAGTTAGACATGATTGGACTTAATGTTAGGGAAATGTTTACCTTTACTATGCATTTTGGTCCGAACTTCTGAATTCTGCCTATCTCTTTCAGTGCCTCCTTCCACTCCAGTTTGCCAAGGGACCACCTCCGTTCCTGTGGGTTCGGACGCAAAGCTGTCTTGCAATTCTTCCGAAGGTGTCCCTGCCCCTGTTTACTCCTGGACTCTCCTGGATTCCAAGGTTGCTCTGCCTGTTTCCAACATGGTGCAAAGTAGGTGGATTGATGACTTGTTTGGACTCACAATTAATATAAAAAATCATGCCAATGCATTAAAAAAAAAACAGCACAATTGGTGCCATTTTCCTTCTTGCCAATTGTTTTGGAGGCTGACTTTCCCCAACTAAAGTCAACTTTTTGTACATTCTATTTTTTTTCCATGTCAGGAGGGACTTGAGAAAGAATTGGCCGTCTGCAAGGACGTTGCCCAGGGAACGCCTTCCTTTAATGCTTCCCTTCCACCCTTTCATCCTTCCTTCCTTCCTTCCTTCCTTCCTTCCTTCCTTCCCTCTGACTCTCTTTCTCCTTCCTTCCTTCCTTCTTTCCTTCCTTCCTTTGTCTTGCCTTCCCTCTTTGCTCCCTCCTTCCCTCCCTCCCTCTTTCTCCCTTTCTTCATTCCCTTCTATCCTTTTGTCCTTCCTTCCTTCTCTCTTTCCTTCCTCCTTATCTTCCTTCCTTCTTCTCTTCTTCCTCCTCCTTCCTTCCTTCCTTCCTTCCTTCCTTCCTTCCTTCCTTTCCTTCCTTTGCTTCCTTCTTTCTCCCTTTTTCCTCTTTCCTTTCTTCCTTCCCTCCTTCCTTTCTCCTCCTTTCTTTCTTTTTCTTGCCTTCCTTTTTGCTCCCTCCTTCCCTCTTTCTCCCATCCTTCATTCCCTTCTATCCTTTCGTCCTTCCTTCTCTTTCTTTCTCCTTATCTTCCTTCCTTCTATCCTTTTCTTCCTCCCTTCTCTCTTTCCTTCCTCTTTCCCTTCCTTTAATGTTTCCCTTCCACCCTCTCATCCTTCCTTTCATCCTTCCTTCCTTCCTTGTCTCTTTTATCCTCCTTCCCTTTTGTCTTGCCTTCCCTTTTTGCTCCCTCCTTCCCTCTTTCTCCCTTCCTTCATTCCCTTCTATCCTTTCGTCCTTCCTCCCTTCTCTCTTTCCTTCCTCCTTATCTTCCTTCCTTCCATCCTTCCCTTCCTCCCTTGTCTCTTTTCTTCCTCCTTCCCTTCCTTCCTTCTTTCCGTCCTTCTCTTCCTCCCTTCATCCCTTCTTCTTCTCTTTCCTTTCTCCTTCCCTTCCACCTTTTCATCCTTCCTTTCTTCCCTTTGTCTTTCCTTCTTTTTTCTCTCTCCTTCCCTCTTTCTCCCATCCTTCATTCCCTTCTATTCTTTAGTCCTTCATTCTCTTTCTTTCCTCCTTATCTTCCTTCCTTCTATCCTTCTGTTCCTCCCTTCTCTCTTTCCTTCCTCCTTCCCTTCCATCCATCCTTCCCTTCCTCCTTTTTGTCCTTCCTTCTCTCTTTTCTTCCTCCTTCCCTTCCTTCCTTCTATCCTTCTCTTCCTCCCTTCCTTCCTTCTTCTTCTCTTTCCTTTCTCCTTCCTTCCATCCTTCTCTTCCTCCCTTCTCTCTTTCCTTTCTCCTTCCCTTCCTTCCATCCTTCCCTTCCTCCCTTTCATCCTTCCTTCTCTCTTTTCTTCCCCCTTCCCTTCTTTCCTTCCATCCTTTTCTTCCTCCCTTCCTTCCTTCTCTTTCCTTTCTCCCTCCCTTCCTTCAGTGCTTCCCTTCCACCCTTTCATCCTTCCTTCCTTCCCTTTTGTCTTGCCTTCCCTCCTTGCTTCCTCCTTCCTACCCTCCCTCTTTCTCCCTTTCTTCATTCCCTTCTATCCTTTTGTCCTTCCTTCCTTCTCTCTTTCCTTCCTCCTTCCTTCCTCCTTTTCCTTCTTCCTTCTCTCTTTCCTTCTCCTTTCCCTTCCTTCTTCCTTCCTTCCTTTCCTCCACTTCCTTCCCTCTCCTCCCTCCCTTCTTCTTTTCCTTTCATCCTTCCTTCCTTCCCTTTTGTCTTGTCTTCCCTCTTTGCTCCCTCCTTCTCTCTCTCCCTCTTTCTCCATCCATCCTTCTCTTCCTCCCTTTTTGTCCGTCCTTCCTTCTCTCTTCCCTTCCTTCTTTCCATCACCAGAAAGCCAGTCCTCTTAGCAGGGAGTGCTAGCATGCGGGCCCCCAAGTTAGAAAGTTTGCCCAGGCCTGGTCTAGGCAGTGCTTTGTTCCATATGTTTCCCTCGTATATAGATGTCTGATCTTCTCAGGCTCTGTCTAGACTAAGCAAGGGCAAACTTGGGCCCTCCAGGTGTTTTGGACTCCAACTCCCACAATTCCTAACAGCCTCGGGCCCTTTCCTTTCCCCCCTCAGCCGCAAGCGGCTGAGGGGGAAAAGGAAAGGGCCCGAGGCTGTTAAGAATTGTGGGAGTTGGAATCCAAAACACCTGGAGGGCCCAAGTTTGCCCTTGTTTGGTCTAGCTGTTTTACAAAGATTAGGAGATAAATGTTTGAAGTGATTCTGTTCATCTTTCCTTCCCACAGATGACCGAACAGGGTCTCTAATTCTGAGAAATGTTTCCCTTGCGTTTGCTGGGACATATCAGTGTGTATCCTCCAATGAACTTGGGCACCACAGCTGCCAGATAACCCTTCATGTGACAGGTAAGAAGAATATCCAAGCAACTGTGTACGATGGAGAGAGACAGCCTGCCTTTCATTCAAGGGAGTCTGGAGGTTTTTGCAAGTGTTGACATCAGACCTCTGAGGCTGCCTGCCATAGATGTGGGTGAAATGTCAGGAGAGAATGCTTCTGGAACATGGCCATACAGCCCAGAAAGCTCACAGCAACCCAGTGATTCCAGCTATGAAAGCCTTTGACAACACGTCTTTCAATTCCTTGAGTGCAGTCTGCATTTTGATTAATTAATTAATTAATAATAATAATAATAATAATAAAAAACTTTATTTATACCCCACCACCATCTCCCCAAGGGGACTCGGAGTCGCTTACATGAGGCCAAGCCCCTGGGATCCTACCAAAAAAAATCCCAGGACCAAAAATATACAGAATTTACTTATTTATTTATTTATTTGCAGCTTTTATTTTCCGCCCTTCTCACCCCACAGGAGATTCAGGGTGGATTACAGTGTACACATATATGGCAAACATTCAATGTATGTATTTTTGACATACAAACATATACAGAGGCTATTTAACTTTTTCTGGTCGCCGGGGGAGCTGTCGCTTTAATCGTCCATCTGTGATGCTGATGAAGCACTTCCGCATTCCCCGCATGCTTCCCTGCTGGAATGCTTTGCTGGAGTCTTCTTTATGGCCTCCTAAATCAGTTAATTTAGCCTCCCCACACTTTAAGGTGGTACCTAATTTTCCTACTTGACAGATGCAACTGTCTTTCGGGTTGCAAAGGTCGACAACAGGCTACACACAATTGGTTGGAAACCCATTCCAACCTGGGCTGGCTTCGAACTCAGAGTGATTTGGTCAGAGTGATCTTAATGCAGCTGACACTCAGCCAGCTGCACCACAATCCCCCATAATATTCCGCTGTAACCCTGCTTTTGCATTTTCCTTAACTTTCATGAGTAGTTGTTTGGGGTCTTTGCTATTTTCTGCAAGTAATTGGTGTCACCTGCATATCTTACATTGTTGTTTAATCTCATACCTGCTTTCTTGGAGGCTACGCCTTCTTTTCAAGTATGTTCTGCATATACAGTAGAGACTCAGTTTATGAAAACTAACTTATCCATCCACTGTAGGAAAGGCCTATAGCATCCTCTAGTGGCCAAAAAGTTTCTGCAACTTTTTTTAATTTTTATTTTTTTTGGTTGTGTGAGCATTTAAATCAATAGCAGATAACTCTGATGATGGCTGTAGGAACCAAGTTTCTTCCCCTGTGATCCTTGAGGGCTGTATCAACTGCCAAAAAAATTCCAGGACCAAAAACATACAGAAGTCCATTTTAGTTTATGAAAAAGAGGCAAGCGGACATTTAATTAATTCCCAGACGCTTTTGGAAGAGGCAAGTCAAATTTTTGACCAGAAAAAGAGCAGATGGAGATTTGGGAAGCTGAAAAAAATAGCTTGGGGAAGGGAGGCATAACCTTGACTCAGCAGTTTTGAATAACTACCGACCAATCTCAAATCTTCCGTTCTTGGGCAAGGTTCTGGAACGGGTGGTCACTACTCATCTCCAGGGATTCTTGGACGATAGTGATTATCTGGACCCATTTCAGTCTTGGTTCAGGCCTGGTCACGATACCAAGACGGCTTTGGTCGCCTTGGTGGATGATCTCCGCAGAAGGCTTGACAGGTGGAGTGTGTCCTTGTTGGTTCTCTTGGACATCTCAGCAGCTTTCAGTACCATCGACCATGGTATCCTTCTGGGTCGACTTTACGGCATGGGTCTTGGGGGCACTGCACTCCAGTGGCTCCATTCCTTCCTTGAGGGTCATACCCAGTCGGTGAAGCTGGGGGATACCTGCTCGGACCCCTGGCCATTTTTATTTATCGTGTCATCAGCAACCATACCATTGTATGACAATTCTAACAGAGCAAAACAAACACACAGATTAAAAAGAAAAAGAAAAAAAAACACAGATTTTGCAAATTCGGTAGTTGGTTAAATGTCCTTTGACCAGTATCTGGCCACTTGGAGTGCCTCTGGGGTTGCCGCAAGAAGGTCCTCCCTTGTGCATGTGGCAGGGCTCAGGTTGCATTGCAGCAGGTGGTCAGTGGTTTGTTCTTCTCCACACTTGCATGCCGAGGATTCCACTTTGTAGCCCCATTTCTGAAGGTTGGCTCTGCATCTCGTGGTGCCAGAGCGCAGTCTGTTCAGCGCCTTCCAAGTCGCCCAGTCTTCTGAGTGCCAGGGGGGAGTCTCTCATCTGGTATCACCCATGAATTGAGGTGCTGGGTTTGGGCCTGCCACTTTTGGACTCTCGCTTGCTGGGGTGTTCCAGCGAGTGTCTCTGTAGATCTGAAAACTATTTCTAGATTTAAGTCGTTGACATGCTGGCTGATACACAAACAGGGGATGAGCTGGAGATGTCTCTGCCTTGGTCCTTTCACTATTGGCTGCTACTTCCTGGCGGATGTCAGGTGGTGCAATACCGGCTAAGCAGTGTCATTTCTCCAGTGGTGTGGGGCGCAGACACCCCGTGATAATGCGGCATGTCTCATTAAGAGCCACATCCACTGTTTTAGCGTGGTGAGATGTGTTCCACACTGGACATGCATACTCAGCAGCAGAGTAGCATAGCGCAAGGGCAGATGTCTTCACTGTGTCTGGTTGTGATCCCCAGGTTGTGCCAGTCAGCTTTCATATGGTGTTGTTTCTAGCACCCACTTTTTGCTTGATATTCAGGCAGTGCTTCTTGTAGGTCAGAGCACGGTCCAAAGTGACTCCCAGGTATTTGGGTGTGTTGCAATGCTCCAGTGGGATTCCTTCCCAGGTAATCCTCAGAGCTCGGGATGCTTGTCTGTTCTTAAGGTGAAAGGCGCATGTCTGTGTTTTAGATGGATTAGGGATCAGTTGGTTTTCCCTGTAATAGGCAGTAAGAGCACCTAGAGCTTCGGAGAGCTTCTGTTCTACCATCTCAAAGCTCCCTGCTTGAGTGGTAATGGCACGATCATCAGCATAGATGAAACTCTCTGTCCCTTCTGGCAGTGGCTGGTCATTTGTGTAGATGTTGAACATGGATGGAGCAAGCACGCTCCCCTGAGGCAGGCCGTTCTTCTGGCCATTGACCTGTGGGGTCTCGCAAGGTTCCATTTTCCCCCCCATGCTATTCAATATCTACATGAAACCGCTGGGTGAGATCATCCGGAGTTTTGGAGTTCGGTGCCATCTCTATGTGGATGACACTCAACTCTATTACTCTTTTCCACCAGATTCCAAGGAAGCCCCTCCTAGACCAGTGCCAGACAGATGTGATGGGCTGGATGAGAGCTAACGTGCTGAAGATTAATCCTGACAAAACAGAGGTTCTCCTGGCCAGTCGTGGGACTGATCGGGGCATAGGGTGGCTACCTGTGCTCGATGGGGTCACTTTGACACTTGATGCTCAGGTGTCGGCGGTGGCTGGGAGGGCCTTTGCACAGTTAAAGCTCATGTGCCAGCTGTGCCCGTACCTTGTGAAATCTGATATGGCCATGGTGCTCCATGCCCTAGTCACCTAGATTGGATTACTGCAATGTGCTCTATGTAGGGTTGCCCTTGAAGATGGCCCAGAAACTACAGTTGGTCCAGAGATCTGCAGCCAGACTACTCACGGGAGCAGAGAGTGGTCAACCCTCCTGTTTAAACATCTCAACTGGCTTCCAATAAGTTTCTTATTTTGCAGGTCATCACCTATAAAGCCCTAAACGGTTTGGGATGTGCTTATCTTCACGATTGCATCTTCCCATATGAACCAGTGCGTACCTTGAGATCTTCTGGGGAGGCACTGCTCTCTCCCCCCCTCCCCCCGTCACATACACGGTTGTTGGAGACGAAGGAGAGAGCCTTCTCGGTGGTGGCCCCCCGGCTCTGGAACTCCCTCCCTAGAGAGATCGGACAGGCTCCCACCTTGTCTTCCTTTCGTAGTCAACTAAAAACCTGGGTGTGCACTTTTGACTAAGATAGTAGATTCCTATTGATGCAGGCCAAAATCCCATTGGCTTTTTTTTGCCGCAGGATCACATTGTTGGCTCATGTTTAACTTGTTGTCCATGAGGACTCCAAGATCTTTTTCACACGTACTGCTCTCGAGCCAGGCATTGTCCCCCATTCTGTATCTTTACATTTCATTTTTTCTGCCTAAGTGGAGTATCTTGCATTTGTCACTGCTGAACTTCATTTTGTTAGTTTTGGCCCATCTCTCTCATCTGTTTAGATAGTTTTGAATTCTGTTCCTGTTTTCTGAAGTATTGGCTCTCCCTCCCAATTTGGTGTCATCTGCAAACTTGATGATCATGACCTAGATTGTGTTGCAAATATTTGACAAAGGCATAACTTCTGCACATTAAGCCATTCGTCAGCATCTTTAGGATGTGCATACAGTAAAGGTTACTTTTTAAATGAAGCCTTATTTTAATTTCTTCCTCTTGGTCAAATTTCTGCGCTTACATTTAGATAGCATCCATCTCTTTCAGCTTTCAACCGTTCCTGCTCCTGATGTATCAGATTAAATCTCTGAGTTTACATCTTTTCCCTGAATCTCCGTTTTGACACCCTAATGACATTTCTGTTAATTCTGCAAGAAAAATCTGGGCTTAGAGCCAGTTCTCATCAACACCCTGGACATAATAGGTGTTTAATCATATTTGGAGTGGCGTGGATTGTTGCAGCTGCATTGAAGGGCACCATAAAAGTTAATTTGGAAGAATTAAGATATGCCCTTGGGGAATGCAATGGGAGAGTTTTCTGCGTAGTCAGGTTTTCTTTTTAACTGTGTTAGCTATGGAGTTAGGACCTGTATGTTGCAATGCATGTTGGTTGTCACTTCTTGAAGTTATACTTCTGCTATGGAGTGTAGTGTACTTATGATGACCTTATGAATGAGAGACCTCCAAGAGACCTTGTTATTAAAAGCCCTTCTGAGGTCTTGCCAACTTAAGGCGGTGGCTTTGTTGACTCAGTCTATCCACTTGTAGTGCAGCC